AGTACAAGTTCACCAGAACTTAATACCGAAATAGTTGCAGCTCGCGAATCACGACGCCGCTTTTCAATTTGCTTGCACCCACCCTTTGTTGGTGTCATGATGGTCGTATACGTGCTCTTCATTCTGGTGTCTACCCTATTTTGTGTCGGGCGATTCGAAGAGTTCAAATACGTACTAGTTAAGAGACGGCAGACGAGTTAATCGAACGCTACAATTGAAAAGTTAGCGGACGAGGTGTATAACATCGTCAATGAAAGCACGCGTCTGCGTCTATCCGACCGCTAGCACTTGAATTACAGAGACATTGAAAACTGCAAAACTAGCGGACATGATGGCCGAATAGTGAAGTCACATCGTGCTGTCCACTGTTAGATATACGACATTCTCGTTCGATCTCGACGTAATTCCTCGTTACAGCAGGATAACGTCCGAAGATGCGTACGCCATCTTTCAAAAGAAGCCCGTTCGGACGGTGTCATTAATGGTGCGGCTAAAGACTCATGATATAGATAATCCCGTTATTCAGATGCTGTACTACTGCACCGCCAATATTTCAGCGGCTGTAACGTATCCATTTGACGTATCCGTTAACGTATCCATCCATATTAACATTTCGGGACGTAACTTAAGTTAGTGGAATTTTGGACACATTCAACCGGGTACATTGGCAATCAACAAGGCCCGAGTTCCAAGCCGATAGAACTTCAGAACATTCGAACTAGCTTAAATTTCCTACGTAAGAACGAAGCCGTTGTGGACAGTGAACTTCGGTACCATTTTGAAATAGTATCTTGAATATTAGTGGTACTAATGAATAAACTAGTATGTGCTCATACGAGTCTGGTTAAGAAGCACAATGTGTTTGAGCTGTTGACTGCGTCAGCGTAGTTGTGCCCGAGTAGTAGAGCATTGCCCTCGTAAATTTCTGCAAGCTTTATTCATGCAGTAGACTGCTAATAATAAAAACGCCTGTCCTTGGAGCCTTATGGAATATTTCTATTGCATTTTTAGGTTGTTTCTTTTATACTCTATTAAGAGGTATGCTAGCGAAAATCGAGATTCGTTCGAAGTAAGACGTTCTATGTGCTAGTTTGCAGTGGATATTTGCTAGGTAACACGGACGGCATAGTTTTGCAAAAAAAAATAACGAAACCCTTTATGAGGTTTGACACTATGGTTGCGCTGGTCTCCTTGGCTATCTTCATTGTCTGATAGGGTAAGCTTCTTGATTTTGAGGCCTTGTATGTCTTTCTATACTAACTGTTGCCCGTAAGTGACTTATCTTTAATTAGATTTATGAGCAGCTAACATCTATCTTTAGACACTATCAGTATACAATTTCCACGTGTGGTTACGCTAAAAGAGCTGTCATAATGAAGATATGGATTAACACGAGATATAGTGTACTGTTCACACGGTATGCGTACTGAACAGCTGATGCTCAAGCGTTTCTTGATCTTTCTCCTTTGACCCGTACGACTTCATCTGGCTGACCAATTTGTTTCTCGGCAGAACTTTCCAAATCAGTTATTAGCTGGTTCCTTAGCTGTTTTCCAAAGCACCTTTTTTGAATCCAACTCGATCATTATAAAACTTTAAATTTACGGATTGACTGATAGCGTTAGACTAGGCTCCGCGTTTGCCTCACGTGTCTAAACAAGTAAAGTATTGACTTACAACCGCTCTACAAAAAAGTCTCTATGTAAAAACAAATAGCTATATTGATTCTTTGCACCACACATCCGACCTGTTCAATACCATGCGCGCGCATTACAAATCATCACTGACTTCGAATAGTTTTTTTGCCCCTTTGAACGTTTTCAGTATTTTAGCTTTTCAACGTATTTGAAATTTCCAAAATTGCGTCAGGTTTTTGAAATCTTCTGAGAATTTTCAAGGAATTTTATTAAAACCATCGCTGCGTGATTGTTTTGGATATGATTATACACAAAAATTAAGTCTTTTTCAATAGTAGGTCTTTAGATGATAAAACTGGTGAGTATTCTAAATGTGCTATTATAAATATCTGACTAAACACGAAAGAAATTGTCGACAATTTTGCTTTAAATACGCATCTAGACTAGATAACTATAGTCACACAAAAACCAATTTGTACTAAAAAAAATAGACTTTTGCAAGGAAAAGCTATAAAAATATATTTTTGCGCCAAATAGAGGTGTGTTAAACGACACTGATTTAAAAGCTCGTTTTCGTAGGAAAAAAAAATCGAATTCAGTGTCTATATCTCAAAAAGTATAATGTTTACAAAAAATCCTATTTTATGTTCTCACACTTGTTTTTTACTAGAAGCCACCGCCTTCGGGTAAATTCGGGTAAACCTGTTTATAATTTAATAATCTTGTATATATATATATGTATATATCTTGTATATATATATATATATATATATGTATATAATCAACATGAAGAAAATTATGAGAGCGATTGATTTTAATAACAATTTCAACCAAGCTACAAGGAACATTAATAAACCAATAAGTGTTTAAAAACCAAGTGTTATAAAAAATAAATAAATCGTAATTTGACCGAGCGATCACTGAGCTAATGAGCGATACACGAGGTCTTACCGACAAGACTGCTAAAAGATATTTACTGAGACATCGAGCAAAGAAGGAAACATCCACTGAAGATCGTTACCGGGACGGCGTCTATACATATGGTAAAAATTACCATAAAAGTTACCTCGTGCATGACGCGGCTTCAGCAGTTAAATTCCAATGTTACGTGTTGAGTTGATTGTACCAGGAAAATACAAGACGATGTTTGTGGCTGGTTCGGAAACAAATTTGTAGGTTCAGTCAGTTCAAATGGGATTTAATACTGTTAATTCTAGAAGATGCAACGCCATTTGGTCACCTGTTGGGATCGTGTGATACAAGGAATTGGCCTATGGTAAATAAGCTTGACGGAACCGAATTTGCGTGCCAAAACGAATAGGACTCGAGGTTAGGGGAAGCATTGCCAAAGAAAGGTTTAAGTAGAGCTATCGAGGGTAGAAAAGTTATAATTTGCATATGTTACCTTGAATAGTAAGGTGAACATTCTTAAATGATACGTAATGTGTTCCTTTATTCAGTTTTTCCTTATCAGCTATTAAGTAAGACGCGTTATAATTGTATGCTAAACGAGAGGAATTAGGATTCGCTAGGAATGGATTCTTCGCGAAAGCGCGTGCAAGACTACTGAACTTTTATCAGGTAAGAATTATCGTGACAAACTACACAACTACATTTCGAGCTTCTTTTAAAGTAAAAAGCGTATTTGTATTGAAGTTATTATGTAGACCGTAAGTCTTATACATTGCACGACAAGGGACAGTCTAGTTTCGTAATAAATTCACCATAAATTTGTTTCATTCAATCCTAATAAAGAATATTATTTCGGCGTATGTTGAGCTCGAAAAGCTTCAGCTTGATTGGAATATTCGTTGAACAGGATGGATAAACGAGTCTATAGTTTCAGGATTTAAAAAAAACACCTTCTCTCTCTATACGAGCGTAATTCAGTCAAATTTCTTGGTACACACTGAATTGCTTTTATTAGTCTGGAACCTCGATCCATATGGGTTCATCTAAAGGATATAAGTTACAAATAAGTAACCTCCTAGAAATCGATTGAAAAAACCTCTAGTTTGGCTTATTCTGTGCACAAACTTGATAGGCGCAGCTGTCGGGAAGTAAGTCATAGGATCCAGTGCACAGACGTATCCGCTCAAACACAGAAGCAGGTCAGCCTCATAAATGAATAAGAAGGTCTCTAAACGCGAACCGCTTCCCTTGAGAGTTCCTCATAGTAAGCTGTTTTCCTAATACTATGTCCCCAATGTATAATCCTGCTAATAAGAACGAGCATTTTGAAGCATTTCCACAAGGCAGATCCACCTCTCGAGATACAAAGAAATACCTTCCTATAGATCACTATTGCTTGATCAAGTAGGTGACACAATTTGTGCTGAGACTTGAAAATTCGCCGGAGAGTGTTCTAATGTCAGTTCTTATTTTTCTGCGCCGCAATACTGTGGAGTGAGGCAAATAGGCCGGGGCCTAGGCAAGCCCTACCACCACGAAGACGAATGCTTTTACGCAATGAAGCGTTACGAGAGATGCTTTTATGCGACGTTTCCCCGCCACAGGCCGCTGCATCGCTTGTTCGAATGTCAAAGCACGGATAGCGTAGAACTTATGTCGAATTTTGAAAAGGCTGTCCTGAGAATATGATGGCTTCCCTAGTCCCACATTTGCCACTGCATCTATTTTGGAATTTATTTCGTATCATAGACGTACGCAATGAATGTCGTCAAATTAATTTTATAAGTTATTAGTTAAAGTTACTGAATATAAGTTGTCGGAATCCATGATAGATCTAAGTGGGTCTACGGTTTTTTAGCAGAAAATTTTTTTAAAGTTGAACTGCAAACATGCTTATTATCTACAGAATACTTGCGGTGATAATTTAGTTTTTTCAAAAGCAATTAGTAAGCAATTTATATGATGGGATACTAGGGAATCTACGTCAGAAGATGGCCCTTCTGGGACATGACTGATACACGTAAAGGCGTTGTTGGGTATTAAGCATGAAAAAAGACCATTTTATCATGTCTGTGCAAGCGTGCAAATGAAATCGCAAGCAACGTTCTAAACGACTTTCTCAGTTTTTTTTATGTTAAACAATTTATATGACTAATATACGAGTGATTAGAGTATACTTAGCTGCTCATAAGCGGCGATCTTATTAGGATGGCTATGTCTAGTAGTTGAACATGCATTGTAATATACAAGAGTTCTATAATCGCGTGCCAAACAAAAACAAGGAATTAAGTATGTAAAATTTTCATATTCCCTTAAAACTTGAAGCTAGCCTTAAATTGGCATCGCCATAGAAAAAACTAAATGAAAAACAACAAGACTTAAATTGGTTTAAGAAACATTTTTTCTTTGTCGGACAATACAGAAATTTACTTCATATTTGATTCTATAAATCTTTAGAATAACTTAATGAGTGTTAATGAGCGGGAGGGATCCGTCATTGTCTGTACGCTTTTCTGGGCAGAATGCGCGCACAAAGAACCACTCTCTTTTGGACGGCCCTTTTAATAATCAGTATCCTGCACTCAATCTTCCGATAGTATCTTATGCCACACATTAGGTTTTTAATTATAGATTTACGGACTAAATTTTATTTAGGCTCAGGCCACATTGCAGGCATTTTACGCACTTTCTAGATAAATTGTTTTTGCGGTCACCCTGATTTCTGATTAAGGACATTCTTCCAGAGTTAATCACATGTTAAATGGACTACAAGGATAGATGAACCTGAAAATCCCTTTTTCGCAGTCATTCGTATGTTTATCTTGCTTGATAGCAAACCAGTGGCAAAATCCTGTCGCCACTTGCCCCCAAATGAGTTGTTCTCTATAACGGCGTGCCGACAGCACCACTTAGCCTCTATCGACTGGAGCTGTCTGATGAATCGTAGCCATTTCACAGTGATTGCTCTATTTACCTTTTTCTCTCTTTCACTTGTCTTTGCGGAATTTTTGCGGACTCGTTGTTTTTGCACTTGGTACATCACGCGATCTGCAAAATATGGGCATCAAACCTTTACGTCCGGTATTACCGTTAGGCATCCCGTCACGCAGCTGTCTCGAAACGATGTGCGTTTATGGTTCAAACTACTACGGGGACAAGCTACCAGAGCTAAGCTTGGGTCATCATCCTTGCATGATAAGCATATATATACATTTAGCTATCCTTAAAAGTATTCGACCATAATATTCTACGTCAAACCAATGCGTCTGAGTGATAAAGCTGTAGGGAAAATAACTAGGAGCAATTAACCCCAATAAGCGATCGATGTTCACTACAATTCTGTAGACAAGCTGAACTATATTAGGATAAATATAAAGGTATCGCTTACTACACGTACTACGATTCCAACAACTGAATGCATATTTATGTAAGTTTCTGTTTTCATGGCTGTAATGAGTGATGATTTCTTACTAGAAAAAAAAAACAGACTTCCTTCTTTAGTCAGTTATCTTTTGCCTTAGCATTCAGACGAATTCGTCTGAAACAACGAGACGATCAAGTACTTTTGAGAGCCAGTATGTATGTATGTATGATCCGGATGGTCCCGGAGATAGCAAGAGAGATTTTTTGATAATTTTCACGAAGTAGATAAATCATATATTGCGCTACTTCGCTCTATACAAGTTAGTAGCACTTTACTTTGGCACATCTTTTTTTCCAAGCTTGATTGTACATTTTTGCGATAGACCATCAGGTTAAATCAATTAGTTCAGTTAAAAATCTAAGTAACATGCGCATTAATGTCACGCTTCCTGCGTGACACTAATGCGCATGTTAATGTTACGATCAACAACAAGTGCACGCATTGACATAAAGACCACATTTCACTCCAAAAATAGGTTCTCTGATAGACATTTCCAAGTATCACTTTATTGATATATTTCTCTTTTATTATGGATAGAGGTAGAGTTGAGCTAAATGGAGTTCGCCTGTAGTTTTATTTTGTTAAGAAACGCCACATGACTTAGTTAATCAACAGCGAAGATATGAAACAATATACGTATAGTCTAGCAAACGATACAGCGGTCCTTCAAGTTTAAGAAGTTCTATACAGAAACTTCATGACTACAGTGAGCTTCCGAGACCATCTGTTTCTCTGAAATATCACTTTTTGCCACCTCCATACTCGTATATCTATCTAGTCATATCCCATATTGGTCTTCTCGGTTATCCTCCACAAGACCGAACCACTGCTGAAGAAATTTTTTGTTGCCCATAGGAATGTTTCCTATAACACCCATAGAGTCATGCCGTATTTATACAAATGGTCACAGAGACTCGTTCGTCAAAAATTCATGGAGTATATCCGTAAAAGTAGTCCGTTACGCGTTCCTGGCATAGGGGGCAAAACATATATATCGTATTGACTTTTCATTAGCCAGTTAAAATACAACATAATCTTCGCTTTCTTTTGCCACAGTAGTTCTTCTCGTATGGTAATAACCAAAGACTGCGCCCGCTGCATCATTTGCAATATAGTTATTTGCATTGTGAAGACATTACAGCTGACAGGCGGACTACGAATCTTCATCCATATAAAAGCTGCCCAGAGTGTCACTGTTCGATTTTCTGTCAGCCGGCTTTTCAGTAACCGCTTAACGTTCTTTTTAAATCACCTAACTCACTTTTCTTGGGCGTTATTTAGCAACCGCCGACCAAATTAAAGAAACAAATAACAACGAAATTAGAAACAGGCTGGGTCACAAAACACATTGAGATATACCTGAATTTTGCTTACTTCCTTAACGTTGCCCGTCTTGTGGCCGCTCGTCCTTGTGTTCTTTCTTAGCTACTATAACAGAGGCAGTTGCAATTTACCACTTCTCAAACTCGCCATTTATGCGTATGGATGCTGCAATGGTACATACACACTCATATCCATACGATCCCGCATTTCTCCCGTTCCTTGTTTCAATTCCTCCGAGTGGCTTGCAAAAGGCAGCGAGACGCCCCTTTGACGATGGATCAACTCATTAGACAGTTGTGTACTAAGGTTTCCCATTAGCTGCATGCTACAAAATAGAAAGAAAGAGAAGGCAAAAAGGCGTACACGCTTCTGACTTCTATACCGACCGCTACACGGCACAGACTACGCGCTCTACTCCTCGCCGTTAACAAGAAGTGATATATTGTTATCCCTATCATCGTACATCCGAGTCGCCACTGCTGGACCCTCACGCTTGTATAGAGCGACTTCGCAAAGAATCGACCGGTTCTTCATCACCGCTGCCGCTACCAAAACTATTACCGTGAGCTTTCGACGAAATCTTCTTTCGTTTATAGCCGTACTTGGTTCTCGGTCTTTAGGTGACGCATCACATCGTTGCCATTTCGTCCTTGTCGAGCAATCGAGGGGAATTCATTGACTGGGTGACGGTACCGCGCAGACATGATAGGATGGAAGGAATCAGCGCAAACAAAAGCCTTCTTAAAGAAAGGTTACAAGAAAGACATTACAAGAGAGGAGCGAAAGCAAATGGATGAAAGAAGGAGGTGACTACTTCTGCTCCCGTCTGCGCTGTGATTACAGAGAGGCAGGCGAGCTGACAAATGGAGCTGGCCGGGTAAATCGACCATTTTGGAAACAGTGGTAGTAGCGGGCGGTTGCGATTTGTATAGTTATTTTTGGTGCCTTGTTAGTTTGTTGGAACATGGCATGCAGTGACAGTTGGGGACGATGGTGTGTGCCAAAAGTGGGCAGGCTGCAGGAGATTCGACAAAATGCGAGAGCATCGTTCAAGCGATGCGTCATGAGACGACGGTTTTGCTGTGATAGACTGCGGTTCTAAATGGTCAAATGTCTGGAATGCAAAGTGCTTTCCGCTAGCCTATGGGTAGCCCGTAATGGTGCAGCAATGGTTGTTTAGAGATGTTGGAAAAACCTCGTGCTAGCGTCATAGTAAACAAGGAAAGTAGGTTACAATGAATCGAGTCGTGGCTGTTGAGCGTATGCGTAGAGCCAAAAACAGATCAGGAAATAAGCGACAGCTAGCAGACGAACTGGTTTGTATTTTTTTTTTCAGGTATACTAGTTCGAGTAGCGGTAACGTAATGCGATTAATGAGTTAGTATGTCGTATGTTCAAACAGATACTAAAATGGTTTCTCGATGGTGATCTGAGTAATTCCATAAAGCATTTAAAGGCTTTCTTGATATATTCGACTTATTTCGAAAGGAAAAGAAGACGCACTTTCGATACGTTCTTCCGGCTTCGATAAAGGTGGCGTATGCCAATAATTAGATACATTGTAGTTCCTTAACTTACGAATGTGGATTTGTCGGTAATTTTCCAAACGTGAACGAAGTAAAGCTCCACAATAGTAATACCAACATCTTCAGTCGCGAAAAGTCGGTGAGCATTATTCGGGGATCGAATCCCGATATGATTGTGGGTGATGCGTCCTACTCCGCCACTGAGAAAAAAAGGAGCTTACTCCATCACGTAGAGCTCTCGTAATTGGCTTAATGCCATAATGTTATAATACCTTCAGGAAGAATTTGTTGCAAAGCCCTGCCATGTGTAGTCTTCAAGAAATATTAAATAAGCGTAGGGGTATCTTCAGAAGGAAAAGGGACACTCAACATTTGTCTAAGTAATACCTCTGTCTCCACCCGGCGGCTTCCAATGTTATACTATAGCGGGCCGCAACCACTACGTTAAACTCTATATTACATCACACGCATGTTTAGCTTACTATGTACTACCGAGAGCCCCCCTCTTACGAGAGAGTCTGTGACCGTTTGAGTACTCTTACCACTAGCGTTGTTCATCGTGGACTGAGCTATAGGCATTGTCTGACTTTTTGATCTTGGCAACAATAAGAACCTGACCGAACAATACATGGCCGCATCACACCTTATTAAAAGTCATCAAGTCGAAGTACGGCCGAAAGGGGAACATTGTGTCCTGGATTGTCAATGAAATTTACGATCAAACTAGGCAACAGTAATCGTGATATACTTCCGGTCCTCTCTCAGCAAATGAGAGATACTCCAACACATGGAGTTTGCCTATCCTGCATTGCTTCGTATCTATACCAGGATCTTCGTTGTTATGAAAAGAGCAACCGTAACCTTGAATTGACATAGCTCAAATGCCAACGTAATCTCAGCCCGAATTTCATGAGAGTGACAGATTTCGCATCGTTTAACGACAGGTTACTTTTTAACAGTCCTGGATATCTGGATACCTTTGAAAGCGGCTAGTGATATTTAGCACTCCCGAAACAAGTGGCTCTCGCCGGCAGAGGTTTACGGTCTATAACGAGAACCCGTGGATGCACAGACATGTATGTGAAATACTAAATTGACAACCAATGAAAGTTAACTTAGTCAACTTGATTACAAATATTATTTGGTTAATTAAATTTTTTTTTAAATCGACTTCTTCGAGCTGCATGCGGTATTTGGATAAATCTAAACAAAGTTTTGTCATTATATAGCATTATATACTTCGCTTCTCACCAGCAGAAGTCATGTAGGTAGACGTTTGATATTTTTGCGCTGATTGTATTAATGGATCCGCACAACGCCGTTCACAGTCATCCCTATTTAAAAGCTATTCTGCTTAGATGGTAAACTTCTCCGGGTGGGGCCATTTGCTTTCAATAGTGACCTCTTAATGAACGAACAGTTCATTTCTTTGATAAGCACGCAAGAATTGAACACTGCTTCTTATAGTGTTGGCCAGTAAGTCTCGACATTTTTTCTCCAAACGCTCGCCTTTGCCCTAGTACTTTCTTTCAATATGGCGTTCCATTCGAAAGCGCGTGGCGTCCTATATAAGAGTGCATTGCTTGTGTTAAAAAGGAAAAGTAAGATTTTTATCAAAGCAATAATTCAAAAATGGACCTTGTCAAATGGAAAAAAAAAAGTACATTTTTTACACCTGTTCTACAACAGATAGTGTTCAACAGTCAGTTACCGAGATCTAACACTAACCGAATCCGTTGTGGGGGGACTGTGCAATGTACGGGCAGTTTGAAAAGGCTGTTTAGGCCTGGAAAATGCACTCCGATGAGGGGGATGGCTCGAGGCCGACGGTGATCCTCTTCAGCTGCTACCCAGAGAAAGCTGTCACTGGTCGCCTTATGAATGAACTGAAAAGAAGAGCTCTTGCCGGACGACATTCGAGGCCACTTACATTTAACTGAGTATGCACAAAAGTGGGGATATTGGGTACGCTATGCACCGATCAAAAGCAACAAAGAGCGGCGAGTTATCGCTCTACTGTAAAATTCATATCCTGCATTACATGCTACTAACATTGTCCTGTAAAGGCCCTTACATGAATATGCATGTATGCACGTTTATTATATTCAAGCTAAGCGACTTCAAACCCCATAAAACCTAGAAGACCATTTTAGATACAAAATATCTCCACGCAGATTTATTAGTCAAATCCGCAATATTGGATTCCTTTATTACAATTTAAAAGATCTGTAAGGGCCGCTCGCTTATTCAATGTCCTACAGTCTACATCTTATTAGAGCTGCCACAGTGTCGCGAGCTCGGAAAAGGCGATGATGCAAACAAACAACAATCTTTCTGATACTCCGCGTTGTTCGATAAAAATCCATGCTACGTCGATGTATACGTCGCTGGTTTGTACGGCATTGACGTGGCCTATAGCGAGTCGTCAGCCAGACAACTGAATTTAAAGAAAAATTCATGGACAGCGCTGGATAAGGTCCCACACCAGTTCCGCCTCCTTTGAGGAGGTGCATATTAGTTCATTGGAAACGTATCATCGTTATTCGGCTCGCGATATCGCTATTCCTCTTTCCACTCCTCACCCGAGTATCTGACGAGAATCACTGCGGAGCTCACTTTCATGATGGCTGTGGTGGGCATCAATACGAGTGTTTGTCGGGAGCTGGGCCAGAACAGAGGGGGTTGGTGGCAGTGGCGATGCAAGCAGGCCCATCTTCTGATCGAGTACGAGTTTTAGGACAACATCGGGCATCGTGAAAGATATGGCTTCAAGTTGTGCTTGACAGTAAGGAAGCCACCAGAGTGGAACGCATTTGATGTAAAAAACTGTGTCGTGAGCCGTATGGAGGTGCGATTGGAGGAAGGATAAATATGAACCGGAAAAATTGTGCTACATTGAATTGAATAAGGGAATCGCCATATGATTCATGCATACAACTGCACTTCGTGTGTGACGTAAATAAAACATCGACTATTATGAAAACAGCCATTGGCAGGTGTGCATTCAAGACGTTACTGCATAACTCTATCTATAATTGTAGCTTTACTATATCTTACCACTAGTTACTCTTCTATTATCCGAAAATACCTGAATTATAGTCCTAAATATGTCATACAATATGTACATATATTTGCGAGCGCTAGGCTAAACATGTGAAGCAGTGCACGTATGTTGCACAATTTCACTGCGGGTTTCCTTTTTTTTGTCGCGTGAAAATAAACCCGTTTGACATGTTCTGCGCTTCCTTCTGTCGTCCATAGGTGATCCTACCTGTGTACCAGTCTTTTTTCTTTAGCAGACTTCATGAAATGGCCAGATATATGATGACAGATAGACGATAAAATAAGCGACGCTTTTTTTACCGACATCAATTGCCCTAAATGAGAGCGTATCAGTTTAACTAAACTATTTCACCACTGCCATCCTGATAGAGACGATTGATTTGTGACAACTTTTCCTAAACCTCAATTAATTTCTTCCACCTGCTTTCTATCTGAAAGGACCTATCTTTTCTTAGGCCACATTGACTTAAATTATGAAAGCTAACTATGCTATTATAAACCATGTATAGACATCATTTCGCTCGTCGGTGAAATGTAGTCTTCCATTTTACAATGGAGCGCATAGCCTTCCTCCTAAGCGTGAAGAGCGATAATACAATACATGGATATAACGCATTTGTTGCCTACTAACAGTAACTACTAACAGTAAAATAATTCTACCTTGTACTCAATCCTCGGTGAATGAAGTTAGCCACCAATGTTAGGAAACTTCTATTTTCGATAATGTAAGTTTATAGTCAATCTAGCTCAAGGTGTAAGTACTGCTTAATGTACTAATAGGTACGGTCCTAATAGGAACACATTGAAGGTGCATTGATGCACTTCGATGCTATTTCGTTCCGTGGCCTGAAACACATATTCAGTGTAAAACTGCTGCTTACCAGATAGCATAGCGAATAGTAGATAAGGGTATATAGGTTTATATAATAATGCATTACAATATTGAGCTGGTCCAAAAACAGAGCAAGGCCATTCGTTAAACGATGACAAATGTGTCCTATATATTTCGCTTTGTTGCGTTGATTATTCTCTGTCTACGCTATCGCTGACGCCGATTACAGTTATGCATTTATATTTTTATAGGAAAAGGGAAAAATGTCAGTTGTAGAATTTGTCTTTTCAGTTGCTAAGCGCCTGATTTATATCACATTTCCTATTAAATATCACCGTTTTTCTATTTGCGTGGCGACTATTTTTCTGCTTGTCCTGACGGCGCTTTTCTACTTTGTCACAGCATCGCGAAAAGGACTCACTGCGGAGATCAAGGAGCTTGATAGGGGGACGATCAGAGTGCCAAACACGACACTAAAAAGGGCAGTTTTCGTTCAGCATTTAATGAAACAGTGCTGTAACGGTCATGCGCAATTCTTGAACTAAAATAGGCATAGCAATCGTTTCTGCTAGCAGGCCAAACTTTTTAGGAGGACAAGCTGCTTGTTGATTGAGTTGCGGAGATAGACGGAGCGCGTAACACTGCTGCCGAAACATGCGCAACCTTTCCTAAGAATGCATAATGAGGACACAGGCTATTATCCTTGACAAGGCGCGATACAGACCCTTTACTGCAAGAGTGCTACGAAATGTAACAAGTGAAAGGTTAAAGTTGCGAACGAGATAGCCATTAGGGCGACGAGGTGCTTCTATGTATTCTGGCTCACCCGCAGCATTCCTACTCTTCGAGAAGACTGAAAAGGCGTTTACGATGTGCCGTACGTATAACAGTGATCACATAAATATCACTACTTCATGTCTCTCCAAAATGGATAGAATAGCAATTAGGCATAAAGCTGACTACCGCACACGATCGATACGAGTAGAAACTGGTTGCTACAAGAAGCTCGTCGTTTACGATACATATTTAAATATGCCGCACGACTCCGAGTTAATTATCATTGGCTTTGTCGCAAGCACCTTACGAGTGTATGTGGAGTTTGAAATAAGGGTGAAATGGAACTTCTAAAAATGTTAGTATTATGGCGCAACGTTATGACCCCACAGAACCCCACACTGGTCGACACAATGATACTAGATAACATATAGAAGAAGGATTTTGCGAAACTATTCAGAAACCAGCACAGACTAAAAATTCATCTAGAATATAGAAAAAGATATTTTCTGCTTTCAAAGGCTGTCATCGCTGACACCTATCCCTCGTTTGAGACGAGCGTAACAGGAACATGTCAGATTCTTAAAGCGTTTTTTCGAAACGTACATTATTACGTAGACAAATACGTTAGGTATTGCAACTATAATTGCATCACGTCAAACATGTAGCGTACTTACGCATTACAAAATCAATAAGATATTGTCAGGTGGTTTCATTGCTTTGACCAGGGCCTTCAGCGAAGTTAGCGAGGTATGTCGTTAAACACGCCTGGATAGGAAATGAGTTATTCCAATTGACGGCTAACCCTCAATATTTAGTTCGTGGCCATATCTCTACTTTTATCGGTGAAATTTATCAATTTTTTATGAACTTTGAGGTCCATCTTGTGTCGCATCTCTTATTGATATTAAAAAAAAAAAGCGAATTGATAGTACATGTACCAACTAAAATTTTATGTCGGCAATTGATTTGACATATTTCTGTAGCAAAATCTGCCATTCAATCAATTTAAGAATAAAAATATTACCTAGAGCGAATGCGTTTATCCACTCCGATGGAAAACGTTTCCGACGGCTACCAGGTGTAAAAGAGGTAATGACATGATTCCCAATGTCCCCGAAGTGAAGATCATTACCTCATAAATGGGCTGATCTTAACTTTAAATCTATATAATGCACATCAATAAAAAGGCCATATGCAGGTGAAAGCTAATTGCGATATCTGTGGTGATTAATGACAAACAGCCACTCTATAACTATTTAATTTGAATAT